TATTTTTTCATATTTCTGAGGGCTGTCTTTTTACTTTCTTAATGATGTCCTTTGAGGCATACATTTATAATTTTTGGCGAGTTCCAATTTATTTCTTCTTTTGTCACTTACACATTTTGATGTCACCCTAGGAAACTATTGCCTAACCCAAGGTCACAGAGATTTAATGTTTTCTTTGAAAAGCTTTATAGTTCTAGCCCTTACATTTAAATCTACCATCCTTTTTTTTTTAGTGTTTATTTTCTTTTTTAAAATGTTTGATGTGGCATAAAGTAGACATTCTAATTCATTATTTTGATTGTGAATATCCATTTGTAAAGATAGTTCCTTCTCCACTGCATTATCTTGGCACCCTTATCTAAGGTTATATCTTTATTATAGAATTTACCAAATTTTGTAGTAAACTGGATAGATCTTCCTCCATCACTGTAGGATTGGAAACATATTTGTTCACTTAAAATGAGAAAACCTATGTGAAAAGCACCGACCATAGGACCCCAGGGGAAATAATTCATTTATTCTTTTGAACCCTCCCCTTGTTACAGGATTCCAGGAATAGAGAAACTGAGACAGGAAAGTTAAAACACGGCCAAACAGTGAGGGCAATCGACAGCCAGCTTGAAACTAATATTATCTTCCCCAGCCAAGGACACGTAAGAGCAAATGGTTAAAAACCTCCCTAATGAGAATGCAGTGAGGGAGAGGGAAAGGGGAAAGGGGAAAAGGGCTGCTTTCTCCCTAAAGCAGAGAAGCCAGCAGTCTCAAGGTCTGGCAAGATAAAGTTGCCAGGTGTTTCTCATGAATTCTGCGGAGGCCAAAACAAAGGAAAACTGGGCACCCTGAGAATGGATCTGTAGTAAAATATTCAGCAAAGGAATTTTGAAACTTATAGACCCCCACCCAACTAGCTCTTCAGATTAGCTGAGAACCTGTCTGCACTTCATCAGCCAGATGTACAGTATAGTTGTTTGCTTGCTTTGCTTTTTCCATAAAGGTGCATACTTTAATTGCTTTAATAAATTGGCTTTTCACAACACAGTCAAGGTCTCTCTTATAAATTCATTTATTTAAGAAGAAAAGGATTAAGGTTGGGAACAGCTCCTCTCCCACTGACTCAGGGGACTGTTGGGTAATGGTAACACTTCTCTGGTGTTGGTGAGAGATGCCTCTAGCACCCCCACAGCACTTAGTGTGGCATTTATCACACAGTGGTGACCATAAATGTTCGCTGAATGTACAGTGGTCTTGAGCATGTACCCCAAAATAACGGTGTGGGCCCCTAAAGCTCTGATTGTGTGGGAGAATTAGAACACTTGAACCCTTTTCAAGCTAAGAATCTGAAAAACAGTAGACTGACCCCAACAGCTTTGTGATGCTCTGCTGCTGTAGGGACCTCAGAATGATTCATTATCCTTGAAGGTTAAGTAACAAATATGCTTTCACTTAATAGTGAACCCACACACTTAAAATAACCCTAAAGGTCTAGAACCTTTTTTTTCTCCCTATTTTAATTTCAAGTTCTCCGGGTGTCTACTCATTTAACTGCTTATCAGTTAATAAAGTTTTCACTTGTGGATTTGACCTCAATTCCACAAAATCAATTGTGGCTCTTATCTGCCTAAAAGCAGAAAGATTTTTCTCAGGCCGCAACCACCACTAATAAAAAGGCAAAGAAACACCACTCAGGTATGGCAGGCAATTCTATTTTTAGTGACCCCCTTTTCCCTCTCTTTTTCTCTCTTACATGTTGAACAATTGGAAGCTCTCACAGTCTCTCAGAAATAGAGCAAGAGGCTGAAAATAAAGGTCTGTTCTGCCCCTGGCTACTTTCATACGGGTTCATGTCTGGGCAGTGTTCCTGTCTGCTACTTGGGTATCCTCCCAGAATCTGCCTCTGTGTGTGTGCAAGTGCTGAGCCTACTAAGATGTGTGCTATTGAGAATAGGTACACAACAACTTTCTTGCAATGTCCTTAAGCATGAAAAAGCGTTCGCAAGGGTAGATCTCACTGCTAAATACTTCAAATTCCAGTTTCTGACTCCAGAGCCAGTGCTCCTGCCACTTCTCCAAATGGCCTCTCTACACATAATCAGGTTCAGGGCTCCGAAGTACATTTTCTTGTAGGGATTGTAACCATTTTTTAAAATACATTTTTTTTAATTTAAAATATTTGCAATATAGACTTCATATTTTAGAACAGTTTTAGGTTCAAAACTGAGCTGAAAAGTCTGAGATTTCCCATATAACCCTGCCCCACACATGCACAGTCTCACCCATTATCCACATTCCCCACAGAGTGGTCCATTCTACAATCGAGGAACCTATATCAACACCCAAAGTCTTCAGTTAACATTGGGGTTTACTCTTGACCTTGTACACTCTATGGGTTAGGACAAATGTACAATAATATGCACCCACCAGTATACTATCACACAGAGTAGACTCACTGCCCTAAAAGTCCTCTGTGCTCTGGAGAGGCTCGATTTTTAAGGGCGAAAAGAGAGGGAAAGAAAAAAAAAATTACGCAGTCTCAGCCGATCTCTCAGCTAGTTTGTTCCCAAGTTCTGCGGCTCCCAGCTGTCCCATCTCTCCTAGTCCCGCTAGGGGCAGGTTCCTCCTCCTCCTTTTGTTTAAGTGTCAAGCAAATGGGTTTCCTGTTGACACCGGAATACTGTGAAAGGTCAGGAAGAGGCCAGGCCACCTCCCCCCACCTCTGTTTATTGATTCTGTACGCGTTTGTTTGGGTCCAGCAGGCAGGTGGTTGCAGCGTGTGTGGCTGTGGGGCGTCCTCAGTGGCGGGTGACCCCTCCCCGAGGAGGCGAGGCCCAGCCCGAACCCGCCCCGGTCCCTGGCTCCAAGTCCGA